ACTGCACTCCAGCCTGGGTGACAGAGCGAGACTCCGTCTCAAAAAAAAAAAAAAAAAAAAAAAAAAAAAAAAAAAAAAAAAGAAGGAAGAGAGAGGAAGAGACAGGAGACAAAGAGATGAAAAGTCTGAGTGAGCAGGTAAGGAGAGAGATTGAGAACTATTGGAGACAGCAGCTAGGAGACAAAGGAGGCGGGGGCTGCCTGAGTGCCGCAGCACCCACACCATCCTCTTGCCTCCTGTCACTGGGACCCCAGAGCTGGCCCTTGATGGAGGAGAGCCAACCTCACAGCAGCCTGAGCCTGGCCAGCAGCACCTCCACCATCTCCCCACTCAGCAGCCTAAGTCCCAAGCTATATGTAATGCAGTTCTCAGAGTCTATGGATGTATAAAAATTTATATTATGGCAAAACAAGTTAGAGATAGTTGCCTAATATGTAAACAAAACAAAAGAAGGCCAGGCATGGTGGCTCACGCCTGTAATACCAGCACTTTGGGAGGCTGAGGCAGGCGGATCACAAGGTCAGGAGATCGAAACAGTCCTGGCTAACAAGGTAAAACCCGGTCTCTACTAAAAAATACAAAAAAATTAGCGGGGCATGGTGGTGGGCGCCTGTAGTCCCAGCTACTCGGGAGGCTGAGGCAGGAGAGTGGCTTGAACCCGGGAGGCAGAGCTTGCAGTGAGCCAAGATAGCGCCACTGCACTCCAGCTCTAAGAAGCTCACCCCATGGAGGAAGGGACCCAGGATTAAGGCCATTCCAAAGTGTCCTTCCTCAGAAGGAAGCCTAGCCTTGGCTAAAACCTTACCTCCCTAAAACCTTACCTTCATTTTACTAAAGGAACTGCTTCCCCTGATTGCCAGTCTCACCAATGCAACCCCATCCTCATTTTCATTACTATCCCTACCTCTACTGACTCTAGGCCTGCCCTCAGCCACCTCTATGGTATAGGGGACTATGTTAACAGAGACATCATATAGGCATTTTTGAGATACACTTTTTTTCCTGCCCGCCCTTCTCCATCCCCAATAGTTTCAGCTTTGAACCATACACCTGTTATTCCTGTACCTACAGATAAAACCAAGGTGTTCATTATAGAAGTAAAAGATCTAAAACAAACACTAGCAGTTGAGACAGGATACTGAGATAGAAATACCTGACTGGACTGGATTAAATATTCTGTCCACACCCTAAGCAAAAGTTACTGTTACACTTATGCACATGGTAGACCAGAGGCCCAGATTGTCCCCTTTCCACTTGGATAGCCTCCCTGCCAACTGGGCAGGAGCTGTATGGTAGCTCTTTTTCAAGACCCCACAGTCTGGGAAGACAAATTGTGCCAAGCTCTTTCTCTGCTGTTCCCGAAAGTTCAACACCCTGCAGGTCAGGCCCCAAGGGCCATCCAGCCTCCACCTTCCAATGCGAAGTTTATCTCCTGTCTCTCACAACAGGGGGAAACCTTAGCGTTCCTTGGAGAGTTAGAGGGATGGAAAGAGCTTAGGCCCTTCCAAGAGCTTACCCATCAGTCTGCCCTTAGCCATCTCTGAGTGGATGTATGGTGGTATTGTGGTAGACCCCTGTGGACACTCTGCCAAGTATCTGGAGCAGAACTTGTGCTCTATTTCAATTGGCTATCCCTTTCACCCTGGCATTTCATCAACTAGAAAAAGTAAAAGCAAAGTGCTGTAAACTGAAAGAGACCCTTCATGAGTCTTTTGATCCTCAAGTTTACATAGATGCCATCAGGTTTCCACGAAGAGTGCCAAATGAATTTAGTGCTTGAAACCAAATAGCTGCGGGGTTTCAATCCACATTGTTCTGGTGGGTAAGTATTAATAAAAATGTAGACTGGATAAATTACGTTTACTATAACCAGCAATCATTTATTGACTATACCAGAGATGCCATTAAAGGAATAGCTGAACAATTAGGGCCCACCAGTCCAATGGCCTGGGAAAACAGAATGGCATCAGACATTATAGTAGCAGAGAAAGGTGGAGTTTGTGTCATGATCAGATCCCAGTGTTGTACTTTCATCCCTAACAACACAGTCCCTCATGGGACAATTACAAAGTCTTTGCAGGGCCTTACCTCTCTATCAGATGAACTGGCTAAAAACTCTGGAATAGATGACCCTTTTAGAAGCCTCATGGAAAAGTGGTTCAGTGGGTGGAAAAAGCTAATGACTTCAATAGTCACCTCCCTGGCAATTGTTATAAATGTACTAATTCTTGTTGGATGTTGCCTCATACCCTGTGCTCGATGGTTAATACAAAGACTTATTGAAACAACTCTCACCAAAACCTTCCTCAATTCTCCCCTGCCTTATTCAGATAAGCTCTTTCTTTTAGAAGATCAGGCAGAACAAAGTCAAGACATGTTAAAAAGGTTTGAAGATAAAAAAATTATAAATATCAAAAGGGAGGAAATTGTTAGATACAGTTAGGTTTCCTCTTCAAACAGCTTATCCAGTTTCCCCGTTCTCTATCCTATAATTCCAAATACCCCTTTGTCTTTGCTGTGCCCCAACTTGTCTGAATAAACCTAGGCATGCCTGAACTTGCTACAACCCCAGCCCACAATCCTTTCCTTATTACGGAATAGGTTACCTTCCTAGTCCCCCATAAATGACCCCCTTTCTCTCTCTTCTCACCTCCCTTACATGCCTACCTTATCTAAGAAAGTTTAGGAAAGTTCAAATGTTAAGCCAATCGGGACTAGTTTAGACTGTGTGGTCCAACCCTAGCCAATAGGGGAAAGACACAGAAGCAGAAACTGCATTAGAGATAATAAAATCCCCTGCTTTCTTTGTTCTGTGTGCTCTCGCCATGCTCCATACGTGAGATGCACCCTTCTGCAGAGATAAATTTGCCTTGCAGAGATGTTGTCTGTCTAAGTGCTCATTTTCTTTGCGACTCCAAACTCTTATTCCCAACAATGAGCCTGGAGTCTGTGACTGTAGTCCCAATTGCTCTGGAGGCTGAGGCCAGAGGATCACTCGAGCCCAGGAGCTGGAAGCTGCAGTGAGCTGTGATTGCCCCACTGTGCTCCAGCCTGGGTGACACCCCAAGACCTTGTATCCAAAAGTAAATGAATGAATGGATGAATCAATCAATCAATCATTTTTTAAAAGTTAGAAATAAAAGGGATGTCCATCAGGTCCTTGAGAAGGACATTCCTGGATTGTAACATTGGCAGGAGACTTTCTAAACAATTTACATCTCGAAGGGAAAGAATTTATAAGGGTTCTAAAGTTAATGCTCTAGGAAATAGGGAGGCCAGTGGCCTAGAGTCAGAAAAAGGCCTCTTTAAAGATTAGTTGATCTGATTGGAATATTAAGGCTATCTTGGTTCCTGATTAAGTAGCTATTCACTGCCTCTGCCCTACTTCCCAACTTGGCTCACATTTTAGGGTCTGTTTCTTATAAAAATACAATAGGTCAAATTTAATTTTAGAATTTTTTTTTTCTTTTCAATTAAGATAACTCAATCCAAATTGGTTTAGTAATGAATTAATTGGTGGATTTAAAGACTTGGACAGTGAAAACTTCCAAAGATAGGCTAATTTTCAGGCTTAGTGTATCTGGTGTCTTTGTATTTGCTCCATTCTCTGACTGATCTCTCCCATGGTAGGAAGAGTGTTCTAAAAGCAACAAGCTTATGTCTTCATTCAGACAGAGAAGAGGGTATGGTAGGTGGGAGCTTTTTAAAATTTCAGATAAACATTTTGAGCTTTATACTGATTGGACCACCCTTGAATTAGAATATGGCACCTGTGCTCACCATATACTTGATCATTTCTGACCCAGTAACTGCAGTAATGAAGACACAATTTTCATGAAGCTAAGGGACTCTCTGGAGTGAAGGGTAAACTTAATCCATGTACACCTCTTGATTATTACAAAATGGGGAAGAGGAGAATCAATTCTTGAGGTGCACATGGGGTAGGGAAAAAAGATGAGGATATGGTATCTTCTACTACTACTAGGATATAATTGTCAAGTATTCTTGTTAAGCCTTAACCAGTGCTACAGTACTACAATCCACTAATAAACAGGATTTTGCCACATGACAACATATGACCACCTTAAATGCAGTTTTACTCAAACTGAAATTATTCTCTCTTACTCATTCCTCTTTCTAACTGCTCCACTTTTCTGTAGGTTTAATCTGGGGTATACTTTAAATCTAAAATCTATCAATTTGTGTGATTGAGAGTAAGTTGCTAAACTTACATTCTCTTGTTCCTTTTTATAAAATAGAAATTAAAATATCTCTTTGGCAGAGTATCATGAGAATGAAAAGAATCAACATTTCAATGTGCCTAATCCTCTGCCTGGCTAATAGAAGAAATTTATTTAAAGTCACTTACCTTCCTTTCCTTTCCCTTGTCAACCATAACAGGTTAATCCCATGTGTCTGGATTTTCAGATACTTCAGCATCTCAATTAACATATTCACTTAGTTAATTCAACAGAATTTCTTGCCTGACCTTCAGTGTATGCCATGTGCTTTCTTAAGCCTTTGTTCAGTCTGCCTTCAGTACATGGGAAGCCCTCTGTCCATCTCCATCCCACATTTCTGGCCTTGGTTTAATCTTGTAAAAAGAAAAAAATAAGAATACCTATTTCATGGGTTGTTGTCAAAATTAAAGGAGACTCTCTGGAACTTAGACGGCTACTAATATATGGAAAGTGCTGTAATCATCGTTACTGTACCAGATATTTTATACCGTGGACTCTAGTGAGACAAGCCAGATGGGAGGGGATCCCTGTAAAAACTCAAAACGGCCAGCGCACTTGGGTGGAGCCTCAGGAAGTTTGTGCTCTTTGCAACAAGAAGGAGACTGGCTCCTCCTCTTCCTGGGTGTAACCTGGGATTCAAAAAGCCAGGTGGGAAGCCCTCTAGTAGGGACTCTGGACTTGTCCCTGTTTTCCCCTTTTCTTCTCTTTTCACTCACTAAAACCCTGTTTTACTAACCGTTCAAATTGTTTGGCAGCCTGAATTTTCATGGCCATGGGACAAAGAACCCCATCTTTAGCTGAACAATGGAAAAGTTCTGCAACATTTTTGACCCACAACTTGGGGGCTCAAGTGGAGAAGCGGTGAGTGAAATGGGGACTCAAAACTTCTCACTGTTGCTTCTAAGCCTTTTATCTTTGGATTTCACAGGGTGGAGGAAACCGTGCTCCCACGCTCATAGCTCACGGGTGTTTCCATGACCTTTTCCTTTTTTTTCAGGACGGATCATCAGCTCCCTGCCACTCTCCCCTCCTTGCCAGGGCTGGGACACATGGGTCAAGGTGCAGCGGAAGGCTGGCTGGCGTTTTCCACCATGTGCCCATGCAGTCTCCTCCTCCCGGAGTCGGGAAGCCCAGCTCCAACCCACAGCAATTAAACTTATCTCCCTGGTGAAGGAAACACTTGCATAAGAATAAGAGGTTCTTCCGCAGGCATTTTAAAACCTTTTTTTCTTTCCTCTTCTCTACAGTATCAGCAGTTAAGTTTAAGCAAGTTTTTTTCTTTCTAGAAGACATTTTACTAGGCGAGAAATGATAAGAATCTCTGTGTATATTCTCTGTAAAGCTTTAATTGTGAAAAATGACTTGTAGGGCTAGTCTTGGGCTGTGGTCAATCTGCTATGCTTCCTGTGTCTGTATGGTTTGTGCTGTAAGCCTCCATCTTGTTTTACACATCCTGGGGCATGGCCCATAACTGTTTGGCAGGACTTTGTTTAGCAATCCTGCCTTAGGGGATGAGCCCTCTCTGGCCAATATCTGCATGTTTTTCTACGCCTGTCTCTTAAAGGGCCCCACCCAGTGACTGGATTTTGTTCTGCCTCTCTGTGTGTGTACTGTGTGTGATATCTGTAGAAAGAGCTCTAATTAATTTGGCCTAAAGAAAGACAAGCACTTGTATCAAGTATTTTTTTAAGAGAAGTTAAAAGCTGTGGTACCTTTCAATTCACATGACTTTAATCTTTGAGAAATAAAAACAGCCCTAAAGACTATTGGTAAAATGCAGGGGAGATGCAAGGTTTTCTAAGTGTTTTGAGGTTCAAAACTGCTTTTTGGGTTTTGAGAACTATTACTTGAAGGTTTCACAATTGGTAAGGCCTGGGGACATATGGAACTAACCTCGCTCTTAATTATGCTGGGAGTCAAACCTTGGCTCCACCTAGCACACAATTAAACAACTTACCAAGTCTTTACCTTAAAAGTTAAAAATTGCTAGGAGTTACTATTCCAACATGTAATTGAGACAACAGGAAATAGATTTACATGCAAGGTGTGTAAAAACAGTAAAATGTTTTTTTTTTTTTTTTTGTAAAATATTATAAGAAGGTATGGAAATGTATACTTTTGCCTAGGGTTAAAGGATTGTTTAAATTAGGAAAAAGCTGAAGTTTCAAACAAGTGGTGAGATAATTGTGGAAATAATCTTGCAGAAGAGGTTGAACATATTAACTAAATTCAAAAGGGTTATAAGGTTATAAAAGGTTTTTGCTTCTTTGAAATTTCTGAGTCATCCTTTTGGCAAAATAAATAACTTAGTGGCAATTTGGAACATTATTTCATAATATCAAGTGTTTTGATATTTGATATCTTGAACATGTTTGACAGCCTCCCCAAAATCAACCTTCAGTTTCAAAACTGTCTTCCCTGGCACCTGGCTTTTGGAATACTTCAGAGGGCCCCTGAAGTGTCCATAAAAGAGAGGTAAACAGGGTTATTTGACATGTTTAGATACATGGATTGCCAAAATGATGTTCAATCTTCTTTAGGTTATATCTTGGTAAATAATGCTAATATATGTTCCAAAATTATATGGGCTTTCTAAAATTCTAATGTCTAAGTATATGCTGCCAATGTTGGAATCGAACTGTCGATTCCTTCCTGGGCAGGGGTCGCCGCGAAGGATCACCGACACGAGATTCACAGCAGAGAGTTATTTATTACTAGCGCGCTAGGGTCCCAAGCTCTAAGTTGGCCCTGGGACCCTGACTGCTTGTTACAGGCTGTTTATATAGGCAAACACAAGTTCAAACACAGCTTAGGGCGCGTAATTCAAACACAGCTTTAGGCGCGTGGTAATTGGGTCTGTCTATGGCCTGAGCAAGGTGTCTTGTTCTAATTGGTTAGAGCAGGACCTTATGAGGTTTTTTCCTGGAGTTGTTGATTCCAGGGACTTCGAGGCAGGGTGGGACCCCCGGAATTGGTAGGGTGGGACCCCATGAGGTTGTTTCCCGGAATTGGCAGGGTGGGACCCTATCAGGGTGGGACCCTATTGAGGCAGGGTGGGACCCTATCCAGAGCCACCTGGTGTTAATTTTTTTAAGTTCTTTTTTATGAGGCCTAGTTTCTAAGTTTTATGCGGCCTAGTTTCACCAATCATAATTAAGGTTGTTATGTTAAGTTATTGTAAACCATGGAGGTAACCAAACTTCTTTGTCCATCGTATTTCTAACAGTAACTACCTTGGACATTTTTCTATTCACAGAAAATTGTCTTATTTCAATCCTTTTCAAAAGATGGTTATAATAAGCTATATGACTTTAACAGACACTCCCAAATATAGGCCTCTGGTAACTTTGGAGACTGTAACACTGGAATAAAAAAAAATGTACAGGACTCATAAAGAGCTGAAATGCTCAAGAATATGAAGCAAAACAAGAGTTAACTAAATGGACAGAAGTCAGAAAGCTGAAGCAACCTTTTTGACTTTTGCTTGGAATATTGCTGATCTTGTTTTGTTTTTCAGGGTCAAAGAAACTTATTTTGAACTGTTTACAGGAACGATAAACTAAAAGTGTTTTAAGCATTTTTGCTTTTTGAATTACTTTATTATTAACTTATCTACAAAATTCTCTGAGAATATTTTAACATTATAGAGAAGCACTGTAAAACCTTGATAAATTATCCTTAAATATTTACCTAAATTAGATGGGAGCAGATAAGAAATATCTCTTCCATCAACTTTCAGATATAACCAAATAAATGAACATATCCAGAATAAAAAAAAAAAATCTAGAAATCATTTCACCTGGTTTATGGGAGTAAGGAAATTCAATAAAATCACATTATTCTTGTTAGAAATTGTCTTAGTCTATTTTGTGTTGCTTATAACAGGATAACACAGACTGGGTAGCTGATAATGAACAAAAATTTATTTGGCTCATGGTTCTGGCAGCTAGGAAGTCCAAGAGCATGGCACTGGCATCTGCTGAGGCACATTGTGCAGTGTCATCCCATGGCGGAAAGTGGAAAGGCAAGAGAGTACAGGAGAGAGAGAGAGGGGGGCCTGAACTCACTTTTATAACAAACTGCTCTCATGGTAATTAACTCACTGCTGCAATAACAATATTAATCCATTCATGAAAGTGGAGCCCTCATGGCCTGATCACCTCTTAGTTCCATCTCCTAATACCTTCCCAATGGCAATTAAATTTCAACATGAGTTTTGGAGGGGACATTGAAACCATAGTAGAAATAAGCACTTACTGTTCAGTAAGTTGATAGTCACAGAGGACCACTTCACATAATAGTGGCCCTCTTTCTCATTCTGTTTTGAACAATTTGAAAAATAAAAAACAATAGAAAGAAAATCAGTACATTATTGTTAGTACTCCAGATCGGAGGACATAATTTAAAACAATATTAGCTAATTGGTTGAGCCCCTTATTATATCTCAATATTAGTCTTATTTAACTAACTTCTTGCTGAAACTAAGTAGTACTTAACTCTGAAGGAGGACCAGGATACACATGTGAGATGTAATTCTCAGATGTCACTAACATATACACGCACATAAACAGTTTTATTCTTAATAAAGATCTTCTCATTTGCCTTAACTTAAAAGGGACATTGCCACAGATTATCTTAATTATTATTTTCTTTATTTTAAATTTTATTATTCATGTTGATTTTCAATTGATTACATCAATTTCCATTGTTTATTTTTATAGTTTCTATTTATTACAATTTTATTCATTTTTTCCATTAGTTCTAGTGATATAAAATTTCCTTTAAAAAAAAAATAGACGATGTCTCACTATGTTATTCAGGCTGGTTTCGAATTCCTGGGCTGAAGCAATCCTCCTGCCTCAGCCTCCCAAAGTGCTGGGATTACAGATGTGAGCCACAAGGCCCAGCCCCTTTCTTTAAAATTAAAGAACCAGTTAATTTGCAGATTTTATTATATTAATTCTGTATATAGGCACAGAAAAAGGCTGTATATAGGCACAGAAAAATTGTGAAGTCTGGACCTGGAAAACTAAAACATTGAAAATTTTCGTCTAGAGGACAACAGTGATCCATACTTCAATGTGGTGTCATACTATCCCCCTATAAATATCAACTAAGAGAGTCAAAGCCAAGTACGTGGTAGCTGTAACTATGATCACTGTTCAATGAAAGCACTTTTTACTAGTGAGTACACGAAAGCTGAACAAGCAGGCATAGATTTTGAAGGTATTGGATATGTAGTACAGCCACCTCTGCTCTCGGATTCTTCGTTTTGTTCTGCAGTTTGCTGTGAAAGTGCTTTAAAATTGATGAGCCTTCTTGGGAAAGGTCCACTGTCAGGTTGTGGCAGATGTTACAGCAGCTGCTCCCATGTTTTAAAGTGCCTTTGATGTGATCCAGCCAATGCGATGGAAAGCAGCCTTCAAAGTGGAAAGAGTAGCAGCTGTGGCTGCAGCAGACCTTCCATGGATGGAGCCTGTTGAGGAGTCTAAATGGTTCCAAAAGATCATGAAGCTGGGCTGATGGACATTCAATCACCATACCCACTCCATTGTTGTGCCAAGTAGGGAGAATAGAGAGAGAAGCAGTTGTGCCAGCTGCTACTATTGGGGTTATGATGATTTCATTCTGTAATGAATATTCTTAGTATTTTCTCTCTCCAAAATCTCGTCAGCTTATTGTACCCACTCCCCCATAGGCAAAATTCTTAAATCAATATCCATTCACTTGACTAATATTTATTGAGCTTCTGATGTGGCAGGCACCATGAGGCCCTAGGGATTCAATAATATATAAGAGAACATTTTTCCTTTCAAGAGTTTAAAACTAATAGGGAAAATAATATATAAGCAAAAAGGCCACGTGCCATAGGGTTATGATATTGGCAAACAGTGGTAGTTCCTAAGGGAGATTGTGAATATAGATGACATATAGGAGGAATACCAGAAAGCTATATAAAGATATCTGCTGAGAACAATCAGACTTTAATCTAAAAACAATGGGAAACAACTAAAGCCTTAACACATAGGAGGGAAATATTTTTTGTTCTGAAAAAAAGAAAAAGACATTGATTGGAAGCAGGCCACCCCACCCACCCAAGAGAAAACTCTTCCCTGTATGTGCAGTGTTAACATATACTTTATTTAAAACGTATTTTTAAAGCTGATCCTAAGCACAAGGAGGTTTAAGCAGCACTGAGACCAGCAGGGCCCTTGATGAAGATGATGGTGAGAAAATAATAATTTCTGCTCACAGCTGGCAGCTTGGAGCTCTGCATCTCCCAGTAGCTACTGGTCATCATGCTGAAACAGATGGCCTCACTTGGCCCAACTAGCCACTCAGGGATATCCTTTGATTTCATTCCTTA